GTGGCAGAATAGGGAGATGGGGAAGATAGAACAACTTTATAAGGAATATTTGATCGGAGATATATAGCGACCCCACCTCCCCCTTCTCAGTCCGATTATTACGTATAAGAATGAAATTGGGAAATGGGTATAAACTCGGCATAATAGATGGTGTTAGCCAACTCTCAGATATTAAAATAGCATCAACACAGTCTAGTGAGAATGCTTCCTCAAAGTAAGAAAAGTGACTTGGAATGCTTTGGGCATTAATATGACAAACGTTAAAAGATTTATTATAAGGTAGAAAAATATTATTTAACAGATCGCGTAAGGGAAGTAAATCATCTGTTAGATCATTACCAGAGGCGTAAGAGGAGTCTGAACTATCAATGGAATAAAAAGATTCACCATCAGACATTTTTCAACTACCAATAAATATATTTTTATTTAATATGTATATTAGATAAATATATAAATAATAAAATAAAAAAATATAATAAAAGATAAATCAAAATATAAGTAAAAAATAACCACTACGCTATTCGCATAAACCAGTAAATCAACAATTCTACTATCACTGCACTAGCCCACAGTTGACTGATAAAGATAACAATCATTGTATTAAAAATATACCTTAAAATTAATAAAACATTAAAAAAACACTATTAGAAAAGTAGATACGAAAAACAGAGTATAACAAAACATCAACATTCAACAAAAATAAGTCCACAACTTAGTAATATTTCTCAACGAAGATAAAAGTCAAAAATTTAATTTGTTTGTGTCTGTGTAACCAAATCATTTCTTAAAATCAATGTTAATAGGGATACAGTATGTAAACAATATAAATTTAATCATGGTATGGAATAAAATCTGTTTGCCAGTATTTATAAATATTGAATCACACAAGGCTGTAAAATCTAAGACCTTGCCTGCCTTACTTGGCGAATCGTAACAACAACAATATCTTTTACAAAGTTTGTATTTTTCTACCTACCACAGAGTACTTTTTTATATATAGGAACTACCTACTTTATTACTAACAATACTAATTTATTTATATTTTTTTTAATAGGATAGGGTGACAAACGAGCACACAGTCCACCTGATGGTAAGTGGTTGCTGTGGCCCATAGACATCTACATTTATCGTCGTTTACGAATCAAAATGCAGCTGCGTTGTCACCCGTGAGGACTAAGATAGAATTCCTCTTTTCTAGTAAAAAGGGTCTCCGGTTCTCTACACTCACCATACGAAACACAGCAGCATGAAGCTGCTATTTGACGCTGGTATTCTGTGAGAGCGTGGTCCTTCCCCGGTCGAGCCGACCCATTCCTGCTACAGCTATATTACTAATATAGCTGCAGCATGGCTCTACCACGTAAGAAATTATTTTATACTTACTAATTATACAGTAATCTATGTTACTAATATAGTTGCGTTATTATACAAAGTACAAAGTAATAATACATAATATTAAATCCTTAGTAGTTAAATTTATTAAACAAAGAAAACAAATATAATGTAATGATACCGTTATCACTACAATAATAAAAAGCTTGAATAATATCAAGTAAATTAAGACTGAATAAAGTTAAATTTAATTATTTTAATGAATCGCTACAATTATAAGAAAGCGTTCGAAAGCAATGCCATTATTTTTTGGTCACAACACGACGTACCCTTTTATCTTCTTTGCTTGAACCTAATGGTACCCGTTGACAGCGTGGGACCACTTCTTGTTGGCGATTACATTTAGATGTACTTTACTGTGATCCACCAGATAGATTACCTGTGCCATCTTCGTTTTTGGGAGGTGTTGTATTAGAAAAAGGAGAGCACCCTGGCGAGTATCTGGCGGCAAGATTATTGAAGTCTTCCTCTGAAAATACTTTTCCACGACTACTATCAGGCAACTTAATGTATACTGTGCCATCAAGCGTCCACACATTCCTCGTGCCAAAATGCTTCCTGGCCTGCTTGTGAATATTTTGACGTATCTTTGTGAAAAACTCAAATAATGTGAAAGACGTACCTTTTAATTTGGCCTTAGACTTCCAAACTATTGATTTTGTGTGGTGATCATGGAACTGGACAAGGACTGCTCTAGCTTGATCTTTACCTTGCGATCCCAATCTGTGACACCGTTTGATCGAGGAGCTACTCACATCGGAAAGACCCATCTTGTTATGTATTAAGCTTAGAACCTTATCAATTAAGCTTACTTCAGAGTCCTCTGGGATGCCATTGCACAGCAATACGTTTTGCCGTTGTCGCATATCAAGTCCATCAATTGTGTTTATACAACTTCTAACTTGCAGTTGCAGTAGACTAAACATTTGTGTGACCAAATACTTGAATGCATAAAATTACTGACTTAGCTGCACTAACGTTGGATTGGAAGGGACCAGTGCAGCCTTCAGACGATCTTCGAATTCTGCCATCTTTTGCATCCAGCTGACTTCCAGTTCTTTCTGTATTTTGTCTAAATTGTTGATGCTTGCCATATTGTAATTGTAATATAACAGTGCTTAATGGTGGTAAATACAAGTGTTACTGATGGGTGATGCAGTAAGTTATTAAAACATTGTTTACATAGATAAACTATTATTTGAATACCCCTAACAATTCTGCAAATATAAAATTATAAGTAGGAGCACTTAAAACAGTTGTTGACTTTCTACACCTACCCGCAGAAAAAAAAGTTATCATTAATAGTAAGAGTTCTTTTGGCACGATATTACAAATGGGTGGGCCTCAGGGCTCACTTTTCAGCCCCTTCCTGCTTCTTGTATACTCGTATTATGTTAATGACTTACCTTACATAGTAAGGGATAACCATGATAATGATAATAATAATGTCCTCCAGACCGACTTTCGGTCACGGTGGTTAGTCTTAACGAAGACAGGATTATAATGCCCAAGTGTATGCGCTAGCATAGGTGCACTCTCTATTCCCTCATAGTCCGATGGGACGGTAATTTGACACGACCGGCGAGAGATTGGGCGCAGCGCCAGCGGCTTTACGTACTTTCCGAGGCACGGGGTGAAACACCTTCAACTTCCTAACTCCGGGCTGCTATTGAGAATTTCTGGACAGAAAAACTCAATAACTGATTTTGGCTCGACCCTGGATTTAAACTCAGGACTTCGTTATCAACAATCGCGTTTACGATCACTGCGATTTACTAGAAGTTTTCATCCTCGAATGTGTTCTTTGTGGAGTCGTTTACACGGGCGACTTGACCGGACTAAAACGACTTAGGGACGTTCAAGAAACGTGGTAAGTAACTTATTTTTAAAAGGCCGATAACGCACCTACAATTCCCAGTGGCGGATTATACTAAAGGCTAACGAGGCACATACCCAGGAGCACAAGATTACAAAGGCGCTCGCGCGGAAATTTTAAATGAACAAAAGGTGCTCAAAGAATCCTTGTACTGGCAAGCACTTACGTAATAAACCAGGTTGAGGCAGAGCACTCACTAAATGAGGTGAATGAATCATCATTCATCATCGTTACAGTCCTTCACAAGTCTACTGTTGAACATAGGCCTCCCCAAAAGAATGCCATAATACACGGTCATGAGCCACCTACATTCATTGGCTTCCTGCATTTCTAACCAGATCGTCCATCTAGTGGGGGGCCGCCAAACACTTCGCCACTCAAGAACCTTCCACCTCATCGGTTGTCGGTTCTTCGAGCTATATGGCCGGCCCATTGCCACTTCAGGTTTTCAATTCTCGCTTGGGGCGTTTTCAAGGTGCTGGAGAGTCATTCTAATCTTACTCAGACTGACGTACGGGATATCATCAGAATTGTATCGGAATGCTTGCTCCTGGATCGTTACTCACACTTGCACTTAGCACACTCAGAACATTGTTTAAAACAAGATGCAAGTTAGCTGCCTGCATACTTAACTCATTGTTTGACTGTGTACCTAACACAAAAAATCTGTAGCAGAGTATACATTTCGTAAGTATACATATGCGGTGAAGCCTGGTAAAGCAGCTCAAGCGAAATTAAAGGGATCAATCCAAAACTAATTTAACAACCCAACTATTTCCATTACTTCATGTAATTGAAAAATTCGTTTGCTCCACAACAAAAACCACGCTATGGATGTAGTTAAACTGTCAAATTGCTATGGTTTGCCATTTTAGGTGTGTTACGCAATTAGGCTACGGGTTTAATTTCTATAATTATATGAAATAAGAACAAACTCATATTAGTAACAATATCGATATCATCTCCCATATTGCTGAGTTGCAACCCTATAAAAGGCGGCCATTTTATGCGCCAGCTATGTTTAGGTAGTCACGCTAATTCTGTAGGTATGCCCAGTCCATATACTTCTAAGTCAGTGCTTTTCTTAAACTCAATGATTATATTTTCTTTGAGCGAGACATCTCTATAATCTGTATAGAGTTTTTTGGCGGGAACTTGAACGGTGGAGGATTGCTCCTCTTGTATTATTGTTTAAATAATGGTTTGAAGAGGATTTTGACTTGTAAAAGTGGTGCTATTTTGTGCATTACGTGTCTGCGCATGTAAACTATTAGTGGAAACGGTGAAACAAGTGCTCTGATGGTGATGTTATTCTCAAGATATGGTCTGCTTAGGCGCCTTGAGATACCAACGCCAACTATTAGCTGTCTGCTGACTCAAGTTGCCGTCAAAATCTCCCAAGGCCTGCAATATGTGATGCTTCAACATATTGTGAAGCAGTGTACTATGAAGGATAATTATACATTGTAACTTTAGGCTCAGAAGGACTAGAACCCAGAGCCAAGAAGCCAGTTATAAAAAAAATATAATCTTTATACTACTTTTTATCTATGTATAGCTATGATGTATAGCTGACCTAAGCCATAGACAAGAAACTTGCTGCCATTTTGCTTCCAAACGAGATTTATCGATACTGAAGTTTTTAAAAATATCCTCGTAAATTAAGGTGTGAAAGCATAGTACAAGTACTACGATTAAAAATTTTAAAAATCAGAGGTTGAATACAGAGAAAATGGCAGCTAGCGACTCTGGAACGGATGAGTCATTGTATCCTATCGCCGTGTTGATTGACGAACTCAAAAATGAAGATGTACAATTACGGTTGAATTCTATCAAGAAGCTGTCCACCATAGCTTTAGCTCTTGGAGTGGAACGTACCCGGTCTGAATTGATTCCGTTTCTCACAGATACAATTTATGACGAAGATGAAGTACTATTAGCACTCGCTGAGCAACTTGGTAAGTTACTTCATATTTCAAATAGTATCTATTTACACTTGATCTTGCTGCGTTTTTTTGGATGAAGATAACCAAATAACTCGATGCTTACAAAGAAGTCTAAATGCAATACAAAAAAGTCTAAATGTTAATAAAAATTATAAAAACTAAATTTTGTTTTCCTCCCTACTATTATTTTATTTCCAATAGTGTAACTAAATGATCTAATACATTCTTATTCATATACCTACATAGTATTTCGTACAAATGTAACAAACTTTTTAATCAATTTTATAGAAACCAGCTTTTTTGTTTTTTGATAATAATCTAAAACTGGAATTAGCTATTTTATTTATTTTTATGTTAACACAGGTCAACTTTAGGAGAACTACCTGAAATAATAATTTTCAAATTACTGTTTGAGAGATCTATTTTATTAACTTGAGTTAAAGTTTGTGGGCTCCGAAACTCATAGTTTTAGAGAAAAATTGAACAAAATAACATTTTTTTTTTAATAATTACGCTTGTTTGACACAAGCAACTTTTGTTTTGTACTTAGCAATTAACATTAAAATAAGTAATATTGCACTGGATAAAAAGTATATATGTTATAATTACTTTTCCCAGTCATAACTGATTTTGACCAACAAAAACAGTCTTAAGTATTTTGAATAAGAAGTTTAGGCAAAAGTACAGTGGATTTCATTAATAACAACTCCGGTTTTAACAACTTGGAAAGACTCTCCATTGACGTCAGCCGAGTTTGGTGTTGATATGTATTTTTACAGAAAGATTACATTTTTATAAGCACAGACAAAGTTTCAATATGCGGAAACACGTACTTATTGAGAAAAAACTATTGTAAATCAAATAATTTTGCAATATTTAGTCAATTCCTACAGTGAAACTGACGCCATTTTTATTAGTATTGTCAGTAGGGATGTCGATTCTTTCCGAAAAAGATCGATTTCTTAAATAGATTCGAATTGTAAGCTGATGTATCGATTCTCAAAAAATTGATTTCTAAAATATCAATATTTTTTTCATGTTTGCATTTATAATGTAAATATAAATCTATTTTATGAGAAAAAAATCCCCTTCATCATAAAAAAATAAGGGGACTGATTCAGAAGGATTTCTGTATCTATTTTGAGACTGCTACGTCTCCGGCACTGCGGGAAGAGCAGCCTCTACGCCTTAGCGTAACAAATCGCATTTGTTACAGCAGGCGGAGGCTGCTCCCCCTACGCGCCTCCGGCTCTATAAAACCACTCTAGGGGTAGGTCAGACTCGTACCAGGTGGAGTCGGGGTTAATCAATTCGCTTCTTTGACATAAGTTGAACCTAACCTATTTTATTTGTTATCTGCCCTAATAGGTACTGTTAAATAAAACAAATTTCAATAAGAGATCATTTATCATGGTATCTTTCTTGTTTTTCATAAAATGGGTTTATATTTACGTTATAAATAGAAACCTTAAAAAAATATAGATATTTTAGAAATCGATTTTTTGTGAACCGATACATCAGCTTACGATTTGAATCGATTTAAAAATCGACCTTTTTCGGAAAGAATCAACATCCCTATAGACGTCGACAATGACATTACAAAATGGCGCCAGTTTTATGGTAGGATTAGACATAAACATTGCAAGAATAATTGATTTTCAATAATTCTTTTCTCAAAAATTACGCGTTTCCGCATGTTGAAACTTTGTGTGTGTGCTTATAATAGTGTAACTTTTCTGTAAAAATACGTATCAACACCAAACTCGACTGACGTCAATGGAAAGCTAAGCCAACAACTTTTCAGTTATAACGACATTACTTTGAAGTCCCTTGAATTTAACGTATACTTTGGCTCGAATAATCATATTTTTCGAGCCAAAGTATACGTAAAGATAAGGTCCACAGATCGACCTACAGTAGGAACAATCCGATAAGCCCGAACAACCCAGTATCAAACAAGAACTGGTTGCTGCCAAACTCCTGGAATTTTTTTGAATAGATGTCAAAAATATGTAGCTCAGTGCAATCTAAATACAAATAATTTTAAATTAAAAATTTTGTACAACCAACTTCAATATGTATTATTAAGGATAACTCAAAGACTATTGGTCAGACCTTGATCAAATTTATATGGGACCACGTGAGAAGCACCCGCTTTCAATAAAAAAGAATCATCGAAATTGGTTCACACATAAAAAAAAGAACATACAGTTGAATTGAGTACCTCCTCCTTTTTGAAGTCCGTAGAAAAGTGCATAGGAAAATAACGGAGCACATATAATCTACTATTATATTAATTATTAATATTTAGCCTTAAATTTTTGTAATAATATGTATTGCTTCAAGCTAAATATAAAATACCCAACAATACAATCACTGATTTCTCTGACAATCACTGATGGGCATCCACTTATAATCAGATAGTACATCAAACTAATTGTGAAGATATTTTCTTTAGTTTATATGTATCACTACGACAATTCCAAAACGTTTACATATAATAATTTAGCTCGAAATTCTAATCACTGTAGGCATCATCGTTTATTGATTATATATTGTTTAAAATGTATTCTAATCATTTTTTTGTGTTAAATAAATGCTAAATATAAAATAATGATTCACTATTAACATGTTGATAGCAATTAATAAACGAAATATCTGTTGAGATGTGTCTAGAAATTATTAAAACTTATTTTTATTTATTTATTTATCAAATTAATATTGGGTAAACATTATATACTTATGTATATTGAGTATATAAGATATTATTGATATTGGTGTCATTTTAAAGGGAATATTATGTACTATTATAATATAAAATAATTGTCTCCAGTAAGTATTATACTTTTCTTGTAAAACTCGAAATAAAAAATAAATACTTTTTTTTATATTCCCATTTTTAAGCTTTATTTCCAGCCTTTATTTTTAATTTCACTAATTTTCTTTTAACAAAATTATATTTTGAATTCTTTGAGTCTTGACAATATTTTTTATTTGAATGTAGCTATTTTCAATAGTAATCGTTTTTGTTAAGACAATCTCGCGCGGTCAGGTGAGGCGAGAATCACGCGCGCGGGGTGGACGGTTAAGTGTTATTCTATAAAAAAGAAAGTGATAATTTTATGAGTGGTGGTTATACATATCTCAAATTTTACAGGCAACTTCATCAACCTTGTTGGTGGAGGTGAATATGCCCACTGCCTCCTCCCGCCTCTGGAGTCGCTTGCTACAGTCGAGGAGACCGTAGTTCGCGACAAGGCTGTTGCCTCACTGAGGGCGGTAGCGGCGCACCACACACCGCAAGCACTAGAGCAATACTTTGTGCCACTGGTTCAACGCTTAGCCGGTGGAGACTGGTTCACTTCGAGGGCATCAGCTTGTGGATTATTTAGGTATTACTTTTTCCTGACTGTTCTTTTCTAGTTAGACAGAAGAACATTAACTCCAACATTAAATACCTAAAAAGATATTCTCTTTAAATAATAAAACCGGCCAAGTGCGAGTCGGACTTGCGCACCGAGGGTTCCGTACAAATCCGTAGGTATATAAGTTTAAGATTATTTAAAATATTTTTATTATATGATGTAACTAAAAATTTACGCTTTTCGCAATTTTTCCTTTATCTGTGCTATAATACGTTGCTTCGTACCAAATTTTAAGATTCTGAGTTCACGGGAAGTACCCTGTAGGCTTTGATTCCCTTGCGAATGTCGAAAATTTGCGGCATAAACGGCTGTATCTTTTGATTGCGTTGGTTTAGAAGTTTGATTTTTTCACATATTATATTTGATATGAATTTCAGCTTGATACCTCCACGCGTTCCTGAGAAAAAGGGTCTTGACTGACAACAAAGTGATCCTATAAGAGTTCAGTTTTTTCCTTTTGAGGTACGGAACCCTAAAAATCAATTGCTGTCTGTTATTCTTGCTAAAACTCAAAAAAGGCTCTAACTGATGAAATTTTTTGTGTGTATGAGTGGGTTCCAGGATTGTTTAAATTCACAATTGGACCCGGTAGGTGGCGTTGTTGTCGAGAATCAGAAATCACCCGTGCGAGGCCAGGGTGGACAGCTAGTAGGGAATATAATTCTGAATGGTAGCAGTAAATAGTAGCGGGTGTCATATAGACGTCATCCTCATCATCACTACGGTCCTGAACCACCTGCATCCATTGACTTATTGCATCTCTTACCAGGTTGTCACTTCATCTAGTTGGGAGCCGCCATATGCTTCACTTACCGATTCGAGGCTGCCACTCGAGAACCTTTCTTCCCCATCAGTTGTCAGTTCTATGAGCCATATAGGCCTGCCCATTGCCACTTCAGCTTACTGATCCAATGGGCTATGTCAGTTACTCTGAGATCACGACAGAGAAACTCCAAGCCTAGCCCTCTTCATTATCTCTGTACGACATTGAACTTCATCAAGACATAATGTATATTAAAAACTTTTCCTTATTAATCTTATCTAATCTTTCAGCGTGTGCTACACCCGCGTGTCGGCGCCAGTGAAAGCGGAGCTGCGTCAACATTTCCGCTCCCTCTGCCAAGATGACACGCCGATGGTCCGTCGAGCCGCTGCCTACAAGCTGGGCGAGTTCGCCCGTGTCGTGGAGGTCGAATATGTTAAGAGCGATCTCATACCAATGTTCGTCCATTTGGCACAGGCAAGTAACTTATTTGAAATTAAAAAAAATCTAATATTCATCTTGTTTCACATACGTCGTATTCTTTGTCAAATAGATTGCCATGGCTTTTAGCAAATGGTGATGTAACCATTATATTGCACCCAACAAAATATCTCAATGACAATGGCATCCACAACTTTTTCTGCTACTGGGGCGGCGCCATAATATATTGGCATAATATTTGACAGGTTTCATAATGGCGAATTTAATTTGTTCGGAAAATGTAAAGTTTATTATTTCTTTTTGTACTATTAGTACTATTAGCTATATTTTATATTACTAACAGTAAAAATAAATAAACCAAACCACAGATATTCATAAAAGTAGAAAAATTAAGTATTACTAAAAAAGTTAAAGACATGCAAAAACTTAAAGAGCAAACCACTGAAACAATTTTTGTGTATTAATATAATACTCTAGAAACTGATAAACTTTTATTAAAAAACAACTTCTCAATTAAATTACAGTATGTAACAGAAAACTTTACCTCAGTGTCAACTAGCGACATCTGGTGAGCAGAAAATTATTAGCCCTCATTGCAAGTTATTTTATATGTGGTAGGACGTTTTTCTGTCTATGAGCCCTTCTGAGTAGGTACAGGCAGAAGAAATAAGTTATTATAAGCAGCAATGTGTGTACTTCTGCATTCCAGTGTAAAGGGTATTTAGAGCCAGTATGATTACAGGCTAGTTATCACTTATCAAAGGTGACAACATATCCTTCTTTGTTTAAAGTTGCCTGCAGGTGTCTATGGACCATACCATCAAGTTGATTGTAAGTTTGTTTGTTAACCTTACTTCTATAAAATAATCTTTTTTTATAGGATAAAAGTAACAAACGAGCACACAGTCCACCTGATAGTAAGTGGTTGCTGTGGCCCATAGACATCTACATCTATCCTCGATTATGATACAAAATGCAGATGCATTTACACCTGTGAGGACTAAGATGGAATGCCTCGTTTCCAGTAAAAAGCTACACTCACCATACGAAACACAGCAGTGTTAATTTTACCCTGGTATTCTGTGAGGGCGTGGTCCTTCCCCGGTTGAGCCAACCCATTCGTGCTATAACTATACCAGTAATATAGCTACAACATGGCTCTACCACGTAAAATCTGATCCTGTGATCGCAAATGAGTCAATCTGACGATTTAGCAATGTAACTTCAGTTATACCAAGCTATTGTTGCATCTCTGTCACACCAACCAATCAGGAGAGCAGCTGTGATTACATTAAAAAAGTGATAATGAAATAGTAAACCTAGAATATTAAATGGGAAAATGGGATTACCAATAAATTAATAAGAGAGACCGGACTGAATATAATTACAACCTGATAATAATTGTATTATGAAATGTCCTATAGTCAATACTTCTTGTGCTTCATATTTTTAGATAAAAAGGGCTCCGTCGTGATATCAATATCATTATTTGTTTATGAGATACGTAAGGCGAAAATTTATCATGAACATTCATACACACAAGAACATCCTAAAAGCCTCTAGGGAGGGACCTTGAAATATGAATATTGTCAAAATTTGGTCTTTGGAAAATTAGACTCATTACGTGATTTACCTGTAGAGAATACATAATTTTCTATATTATATTATCTGTAGTATTCACTATTATCGAATACAGCAGGTGAAATGTTCACTTAATTTACTTGGCATTATCAAACCATTTAACAGGATGAACAAGACTCTGTTCGTTTACTGGCGGCAGAAGCTTGCGCCGCTGTAGCAGCACTGCTCCCCCCGGAGGACATGGAGCAACTTGTGATGCCCACCGTACGTGCCCGAGCTGGAGACACTTCCTGGAGAGTGCGCTACATGGTCGCCGATAAGTGAGTAACGTTTTTAAAATGCTGGGTTACCTGTGCTTATTTATATATGCCTCTCATTTTTGCAAATTATACATGATTACATATAAAAATAACCTATTTACTACTTTACTTATAAAATATATAAGTACAACCTGTAGCCTGTAATCCCTTTGCACAACATATCATTTTCTGTCGACTTCAAAAAGGAGACGGTACTCAATTCAACTGATTTTTTTTGTGTTGTTACCTCATAACTTTTTACTGGGTGAACCGATTTCGATGATTCTTTTTTATTTGAAAGCTGGTGCTTCTCATGTAGTCTTATATGAATTTGATCAAGGTTAGACCAATAGTTTTTGAGTTATTCTTAATAATTTATATTGAAGTTGGCTGTACAAAATTTTTAATTTTATATTATTTTGTAAACGGTTTTATTTACATGTATAGAGTATCAAACTACTTAGGCGCAGTTAAGTTCACTTTATAAGTTATGTCCACCGGCAGTAATGAAATTTTTATAATTATTTAATTTTATTTTTTTAATTTTATTTAATAATTTTATAATTGCAATTGTTGATGTTTGCTAATGTAGTATAACAACTAAAGCATGAAGTAACTTTTTTTTTATAATTATTGCAAACAATACACATTTTTCTTTTTTTTTTTATTTAATTTAATGAAACCAGTTTTGCTCACAGGGGTACCATGGTTGCTATATTTTAAAATTATGTTGCCTTTTACAATATTATAATTTGAGTTAGGATGAATCGAAGACTTTAATATAGAACGCAATAATACGCAAAATTTAATACAGAAGTTTGAGTTTAAAGTTTTCTTTATAGTGATAGAGCTATGGTGTAGCTGTTGTAGTAACACAAACGGGTCAGCTCGACCGGGGAAGGACCGCTCTCACAAAATACCAGTTCAAATGCTGCTGTGGGCACGACTACGGTTCTTACGGCGCCACGATTTGAAGGCGGGATTCGCATAGATCTCGACGAAATACGCCGAAAATTAAGAATAAAATTTTTCATTATTTTGCTTAGTGTTCGAGTTATTGATACTCAAAAAAATTATTTTTTTAGACAGTAACAGCAACCCAAAGTTATTTCTGCATTGGCTTCAGCGCTGCGGGAAATGCAGCCCTTTTGCCCTTGCCTAGGAAATCGCTATTGCCGATCTCACTCTCTACGGCTCGCACAGGTGCCTGCTATTTGCTATAGCGGGCGGGGGCTGCTCCCCCTCCGCGACTTCGGCTTCACAAAAACACTCTAGGGGTAGGGCAGACAAGCCTACGTTGAGTCAGGACCTGCTTATTCGCTTTTAGTATTCTATTTTTGAGTATCGATATCTCGGAAACTAAGCAAGTAATCGAAAAATTTTATTCTTAACTTTTCGGCGTATATTGTCGAGACCTATGCGAATCTGCCTTCATATCGTGGCGCCGTAGGAACCCATAGAAGACCCTACTGTGTCTCATATGATGAGTGTAAAGAACCGGAGACCCTTTTTTAATGGATAGGTGGCATCCCATTTTAGTCCTTAGGGGGGATAACGCATCTGCATTTTAATGGAGGATGAGCCACAACATCCGCTTACCATCAGGTGGACTGTGTGCCCGTTTGTAACCTATATCCTATTAAAAAAAAATAGCTGGTTCTTAGCCTGCTTAACTTGGTGAGTAGGCATTTTATGTTTGGCACCCTACACTGTTACTGCCTCTCGAGAACCTGTCTTGCCCATCCATTGCCAATTCTATAAGCTACTTAACTAAAATAATTATATTTGCAGGTTTGTAGAACTTCAACAAGCAGTAGGTCCTGAGCTAGCTCGTACAGACCTGGCACAAATATTCCAAGCCCTACTGAAAGACACTGAAGCTGAAGTACGCGCAGCCGCTGCTGGAAAAGTAAGATGCTTTGTTCTCCTTAAAATCTTCTTTAACATTTAGTGTTTTTGTTGTACTGATTTTTTATCTAATGTTATTTTCTTATTTTGTGACAGGTGAAAGACTTCTGCATGAATCTGGACAAAGCGCACCAGGAGCACATAATCATGACCATGATCTTGCCCCAGATAAAGGATTTAGTCTGCGATCCAAACCAACACGTGAAGTCAGCTCTCGCTTCTGTCATCATGGGCTTGAGCCCCATCGTTGGACGGCACAACACTATTGAATACCTCCTACCCTTGTTCCTCACACAGTTAAAGGACGAGTGCCCAGAAGTGAGATTGAATATCATTTCAAACTTGGAATGCGTGAACGAAGTGATCGGGATCCAACAGCTAGTGCAGTCCTTGTTGCCGGCCATCGTTGAATTGGCTGAAGACACAAAATGGCGCGTCCGACTCGCCATCATTGAACACATGCCTCTTTTAGCCGGACAACTTGGGCAGGAGTTCTTCGATGAGAAGCTCACTGGGCTCTGCATGTCGTGGCTCATAGACCATGTTTACGCGATCCGTGAAGCTGCAACGCTCAATCTTAAGAAGTTGGTCGAGCAATATGGCGCACAATGGGCAGAAACAAACGTCATACCCAAAGTTATGGCGATGTCCCGCGAACAGAACTATTTACATAGAATGACTTATCTATTTTGCATCAACGTTTTGTCCGAAGTGTGCGGAAAGGATATAACGACGAGGGTTTTGCTGCCAACCGTATTGTCGATGGCCGATGACAATGTTGCCAACGTACGTTTCAACGTTGCGAAAACTCTACAAAAGATGGCGCCGTTCTTAGATCCCGCCGTCATCCAGCCCCAAGTGAAACCGGTTTTGGAAAAGTTGAACGTCGACCCGGACGTAGATGTCAAGTATTTCGCTTCGGAAGCAATCGCCGGTATTGCCGGCTAATTTTAGTTATAACACTTTGTATCTGTTTAGTTAATATTTAATCGGAAACTTCTTTAGTCGACCTGTACAAAAGTTTAAAAAAAGCTTGCAAATAGCTGTTGCCTGTCTTTTAGGGATCGTCATTCCAGTCAGTTCCAATGTTTGGACGGTTAACAAATTTAATTGTACAGTTTGATATACGTATTAACGAATTGTAGAATAAATTTGCCGACTGTATTAATAAGCTATTTAGACAGCATTTAATCTGCAATTCCTGTGAAATATGAAACAAATTTATTATATTAAAATTAATTAAAAATAAATGATTTCTGGTTTTGTTTTTCTCTACCTCCATCATAATCAGTCTGTAAAAACTCCACTACTACACATTGGTATATTCTATTGTAGGAAGAATTTGCATATTTCTATAATCGTCTTACTAGACCCACGGTTTAGCCGTGTGGTGGCGGTCAAGAATACTCACTACCCCATATCTTCCCGTGGGTGTCGTAAAAGGCGACAAAGGGAAACAGGCAGGAGATGGGCAGCAGCATCTTCCTGATAATAGCCAAAATTACAATAAAAAAACTGCGGTTGCCAACCCGCTCGCCAAGCGTGGCAACTATAGCAAATACCCCCCTATGAAGAGAGTAACAAGGAGACGGCCCCCAGTCCTGGCGGCCCCGCTATTCCTGGCTACGGTGGCGACAATGGTAACGGCGGGGCAGGGGGTGCTAAGAATCTCCGGTGGAGGTTCGGTTGCCACCTTAGACGACTCGACCTGGCAACGTACAACGCACGCACCCTGAGGACTGACTGAGCTGGAATAAGAGTTAGACAAGTTACGCTGGCATATTATAGGATTGTCCGAAGAGAGGGGGAGGACACGGTAATCCTCGAATCCGGCAACTTGTTCTATCACCGGGAGGGCGACCATCTGTCCCACAAGGAGGTGTCGGATTTATCGTCCACAAGTCTCGTTAACAACGTTGTAAAGATTGAGAGTGTATCGACGAGGGTTGCGTACCTTATACTCAGAATCACCAAACGGTATTCGCTGAAGGTCATACAGGTTTACGCACCAACCTCGGCACACCCCGATGAGGAGGTGGAGGAAATGTATGAGGATATCTCTAGAGCCATGCATTCCTCCAAAACCCACAATACGGTGTTAATGGGAGACTTCAACTAAATAAACTAGACACAAGATAGAACGGTGAGCTGAAAGTAGGGAAATTTGGAATATGACAACGGAATCCAAGGGGCCCGCAGCTGGCCGACTCCATGGAGAAAGAGGGACTCTTTATGATGAACTCTTTCTTCCAGAAGCGGCACCACAGGAAGTGGACCTGGTCGAACCCCAACGGTTCGACAAAAAATGAGATTGACTTCATTATGACGACCAGACGACAACTGTTCAGTGATGTCTCCGTGATCGCGAGGGTGAAAACTGGTAGCGATCACAGAAGGTCAGAGGCACACTGAACCTAAACGTTAAGTTGGAGAGGTCTCGTCTAACGTAGTCAACGCTCCGTCCACCTCGTGCTCTGTTCCAAAGTCCTGAAACCTTTCAGCTCGAGTTACAAAACCGTTTTCAGTGCCTAGAAGACTGCAATGAAGTGGACGATATGAATGACAAGCTCGTGGAAACTGTCCATGCGGTTGGAGTTAAGTTCTGCAAGACCCGCCACAGAAGAACACAAAAACTCTCCGATCACACTCTTAATCTCATGGCTGTTAGACGGGAGATGAAGCTACATTCTTCAACAGATTTGACAGCATACAGGCAACTGAACAGACAGATCTCCAAATGCATGCGGCGGGACTTACGCAACTTCAATACAGCTTGTATTGAAGAAGCGATCGAGCGGAATCAAGGGTACAAAGTCTTTGCCAGAGATCTGTCTGCCAGAAAGATCCAACTGTCAAAGCTGAAGACCGAGTGTGGCAGCATCGTTTCCGGGACACCTGAGATTTTGAGTGAGATTGAGAGGTTCTATGGACAGCTGTACACGTCATCGTTGGAGCCACACGCAAGTGTGAGTAACGATCCAAGAGCGAGTCTTATCCGACACTATTCCGAAGATATCCCGGACATCAGTCTGAGCGAGATTAAAATGGCTCTCCAGCACCTTAAAAACGGCAAGTCCCCGGGCGAGGATGGAATTACAGCGGAACTTCTGAAAGCGGGTGGAAAACCGGTACTGGAAGTCCTTCAGAGGCTCTTTAATTCCGTCCTCCATGGTGGCATTACACCGGAGGCGTGGAGCAGAAGTGCGGTGGTCTTGTTCTTCAAGAAAGGTGACCACGCTCTCTTGAAGAACTACAAACCGATTTCCCTTCTGAGCCGCGTCTACGTGCTGTTTTCGTGAGTCATTACGAATCGTCTCGCGCGAAGACTTGACGACTTCTAGCCTCCCGAACAAGCCGGTTTCCGAAAGGGCTTTAGCACCATAGACCACATACATACCCTTAGGCAAATTGTACAGAAGTCCGAGGAGTACAATTTGCCACTATGCCTGGCGTATGTGGACTATGAGAAAGCCTTTGATTCCGTCGAAATTTGGGCGGTGCTGCAGTCCCTTCAGCGGTGCCAAGTTGACTGTCGGTATATCGAAGTGCTGAAGTGCTTGATGGCTATCTAAGTACAGAACCAGAGTACGAAACCTATCCAATTGCACCAGTGGCGTAGCGTGCCTTAGATGGGCCCTGTATCAAAATTTGTTTTGGGGCCCCAATGAAGAGCAAAGATTCCATAACAGGAACAAAGACGCTTGCATTGTATTAAAATAATTATATATTGATTATAAGTTATTATTTACAATTAACAGTGGTAGATCCACTCGGCAGCTTTTGTTGTCGCACGGATGGGTCGGCTCGAACCGGGGTGGTACCACGAGCTCACAGAACACAAGCGTGAAGTAGAGGTTTACATCTGCGTTGCGTTTAGTGAGTGCAGGTGGCCGGAGGCCCAATTTAACCGAGACTCAGGTGCTCTTTTTAACCGAGACTCAGGTGTCCTCTCCTGCTGATGCTTCATATCTCTCCTACCTGGGGTACAAATTAGAACACTCCTTTGTGCCTTGGGCTGGGGCTTGCGTATACGTCAGAGAGGACATCTGTTTTCCTGTCCATCCTATGACTGCGCGTAGACAGCGACGACCATCCCCGCGTCTACGGGTGCCTCTACAGTTCCCATAGCGGTAATGCCGACTCAGACTGACTCATCGACCACGTCCAAATGGCTGCAGACTCCGTGCTACAACAGGTACCATTCGCAGAGATTGTGATACTCGGTGATTTTAACGCCCACCACGCTGAATGGCTTGGTTCCCGTTTAACCGATCATGCGGGTAGATCTGTCTATGACTTTGCCTTGGCATATGGTCTAACACAACTGGTTACTTCGCCTACGCGGATCCCAGATGTGGAGGATCATGTACCTTCCCTGTTGGACCTTCTACTGACCTCTCATCCGGACGGATATCGGATCTCCGTCGATGCCCCTCTGGGCTCTTCGGACCATTGTCTGATCCGGAGTACGGTGCCACTCACGCTCCCATCACAGTTGCAATCTGCAGCTTGCCGCCGTGTTTGGCACTATAGGTCAGCCAATTGGGACGGGATGCGTTCTTTTTTTACATCCTACCCTTGGGCGCGGGTTTGCTTCTCGCCGGAAGATCCCAGCGTTGTTGCCGTTTCTGTTGCTGATGTGGTATTTCAGGGTATGGAACATTTTATTCCATCCTCTGTGGTACCCATCGGAGGCAGATCCCAGCCATGGTTTGGTCGCTCCTGTAAAATAGCATCACGCTATAAGCAGGAGTGCTACCGGGCCTGGGCTGACGCATCAACGTCTCAGGATGTAAACACCAGCGCACTTAAAAAGAAGTATAGTTCCGCCTCCAGGTCCTTCAAAAGCTTTATTGCCAAGGCAAGGTTTGAGCACATCGGCAGAATTGGCGAGAAGCTAGTTCGCCTTTCTTCGGGAACCCGTGCATTCTGGTCTCTCGCCAAGGCTGTCCAAGGGAACTTCCGTCAGCCATCTCATCCATCTCTGCACAGAGAGGACGACTCACTGGCCCATGCCGCAAAGGAGAAAGCCGATCTTTTAAGCTTTCTCTTTGCGTCCAACTCGACTCTAAATGACGGGGGGAACACACTGTCGACCATCGCGCCGTGTGAGTGCTCCATGCCGGATGTGCGATTTACACAGCGCTTGGTTCCTAAAGCACTCTTATACCTGGACGTCAGCAAGTCGAGTGGGCCTGATGGAGTCCCCCCATTGTGCCGAAGACGTGTGCTCCGGAGTTGGCACCGGTTTTAAAGCGTCTTTTCCGGTACGCCTACTCCCAAGGCGTAGTCCCGAATTCATGGAAGACAGCTTTGGTCCACTCGATCCCTAAAAAAGGAGACCGCTCAGACCCGTCCAACTACAGGCCTATCGCCATAACCTCCTTGTTCTCCAAAATAATGGAATCCATTATAAACTGCCAGCTCATGAGGTACCTTGAGGATAACCAGCTGATTAGTGACCGCCAGTACGGTTTTCGTCAGGGTCGATCAGCTGGTGATCTTCTGGTCTACCTAACTCATAGATGGGCGGAGGCAGTAGAGTCCAAGGGGGAGGCATTGGCCAATAGTTTGGACATAGCGAAGGCCTTCGATCGGGTCTGGCACAAAGCGCTTCTTTCAAAGCTTCCTTCCTATGGGCTTACCGAGAAATTGTGCAAATGGATCACCAGTTTCCTTGCTGATCGGAGAATCAAGGCCGTAGTAGACGGTGCATGCTCTGATTTCAAGCCTATCAACGCTGGTGTTCCATAAGGCTGCGTGCTATCACCAACGCTGTTTCTCCTGCATATCAATGATATATTGCAAACTAGCAACATTCATTGCTATGCAGACGACAGCACTGGTGATGCCTTATATACCGACCGTGCCAATATTTCTCGGGAAAACGTCGCCGACTACCGGGACAAATTTGTGTCTGAAGTCGAGTTTTTGCTGAACAAAGTCTC